TGTTATGTAAAATCATAAAATAATAAATTTATTATTATGGTTAAAATATTATAATCTATAAAGTAAATACTGTCAAAATCTGTTATAACGACATCAAAGCGACTACTCATATTTGGTCGTAAAAACCAATAGTCGTAACAGCCGATGACGTTGATATTAAGTACCTATTACAATAGAATTCAGCCGGGACCTTTGGTTTTTGTCAATATAACTGGTATGTTGTTGTACACGATTCCGTCGTAAACGGTTTTGACTGTATTATTAATGCCGTGAAACTGATTTTACTTATTATTATGTTATGTTCACTCATGGACGCCACTTACAAATCAGTTATTCATAAAATCTAAATCGAAATAATAAGAGGATTAATAATTTACCTGTATGTTAAGGTCGTCTATACTCGATGTAGGTGTACCAATTCGCAGAACACTTCCTAACTGTAGAGCTCCACTCAGTGCAAATTCCGTTTCTCGAGACTCCAATGGTAGTTGTGTTACATTAAAGGATATTGCACTTGTGTAACCTTAAACATTTGACTATTTTACCAGGCGTTATGAAGCGACATTCTTTTGTCGCTTGACTATCAAAACACGTAACGACGCAATTAAGTATTTGCAGCATATACTTTAAGATTGATTTAGCAACGACAATTTACACAAAAGAAAACATCTAATTCAGAATACCAATAAAACTAATTTGGTTCAAACTTTGGTATGGGAGCGTTCAAGTTTTACGCAACGAATTACGGGGAGGGGCTTTAAGAAAAAAAAAAAAAAAAAAAAAAAAATTAAAAAAAAAAAAAAAAAAAAAAGGGGGGGAAAAAAGAAAAAAAAAAAAAAATTAAAAAAAAAAAAAAAAAGAGGGGGAAGGTTTTTAAAAAAAAAAAAAAAAAAAAAAAAAAAAAAAAAAAAAAAAAAAAAAAAAAAAAAAAATATAAAAAAAAAAAAAAAAAAAAAAAAAAAAAAAAAAAAAAAAAAAATAAAAAAAAAAAAAAAAAATAAAAAAAAAAAAAAAAAAAAAAAAAAAAAAAAAAAAAAAAAAAAAAAAAAAAAAAAAAAAAAAAAAAAAAAAAAAAAAAAAAAAAAAAAAAAAAAAAAAAAAAAAAAAAAAAAAAAAAAAAAAAAAAAAAAAAAAAAAAAAAAAAAAAAAAAAAAAAAAAAAAAAAAAAAAAAAAAAAAAAAAAAAAAAAAAAAAAAAAAAAAAAAAAAAAAAAAAAAAAAAAAAAAAAAAAAAAAAAAAAAAAAAAAAAAAAAAAAAAAAAAAAAAAAAAAAAAAAAAAAAAAAAAAAAAAAAAAAAAAAAAAAAAAAAAAAAAAAAAAAAAAAAAAAAAAAAAAAAAAAAAAAAAAAAAAAAAAAAAAAAAAAAAAAAAAAAAAAAAAAAAAAAAAAAAAAAAAAAAAAAAAAAAAAAAAAAAAAAAAAAAAAAAAGAAAATAAAAAAAAAAAAAAATAAAATAAAAAAAAAAAAAAATTTTAAGGATTAATTAGGTGGGGGGGGGGGGGGGCTTCAACCTTCTCTATGTTTCAATTATGATCAATAATTGTTCTTATTAGCAATCCACCGTAAAACAAAAAACATACTTACTGCAATTACGGCGATGTCCTTTACGTGCGTTTCGTTGTTCTAAGGATACGGATACAGGTCGAAATGCAGTAAGACCCCGTCTATGGGGCCCTGGGAGCCCCAGTAATACATAAAGACACTCCAGTACTGCATTTTGAGCGTTATGCGAGTTGGACGCTTCTATGTAAGATATACATAGCTGATATAACTGAAAGTGGTGTTTCGTTAGTAGTTTTATTTTAATGTCTATGGTAAGAATCTTAAGCTACTGTATTCCTCTTTCGGTTTTTGTCTTACTAGGATGACACAAGCTACCAAGTTTTCTTTATTTCCTTTCAAGCTCTGGTTACTATGTATTTATATGCAACAAAATGTATTGAAGTATTTACTTTCATATTAAAGTATCCAATATGTGATTAAAATTAAATAATTAAATAATTTATTTTAGGTGCAATACTAGTTTATGACATACAATATTAAGCGCACAAAACTTTAATGATTGATGATAGACTTACTTCCAAATAGTCCTGTACAGTAAATAGATCACTTTCAGTAAATTTGTTAACATCATTAATTTGAAACACAGCTTTGATCACACTAAACCAGCTAATAGCTATTGTGTCTTCATCTGCCATTGGCCACAATTTCTCTAAAACCAAACACACAACTATTAAATGTATTTAATTTTTAATGCCTAAATCTTAAAATGCAAATATTATACATTAATAGATAATGCATGTGTTAAAATTTTAAATTTATTTATTTTAATTAGTTTGTACAAACTTCCGGAGAACTGAGTTTAAATGTGGATACAAAAAAGATTTTGTTTAAATGACTACAACTAAATCAGGACTAAGACCTACACTAGTCAGAATGTGTATTCAACTGGGATATTTACCAAAAGCTTTATCCAGTATCTGTGTAAGAAGGGTCTCCCTGTGCGCACATAAATGGCCAAGGCATGAGCTTATACCGCGTCGGACAGATGCTTCCGTACATTCAACACGGGATAGTAGAGAACGAGAGAGATCTGAGAAAAGTAAAAACTTTACGGTATAAGTATAATAATAAATTTAATCAAAGTTTATAGTCCTTACCACTCTTATACACATGAACTAGGTAAATATATTTCTTTACCTGTACTAAAATTACCTACCTTACTTAGAGACTAAACAAAAATAAAATTATAAAAATAATTAAATCAACATAAAAGATGATATTTGCTACCGTTTTACCACTTAGTAGTGTAGTTTTAAGACTTAATATATTTTTAATAAATTGAGATTTATATACATGTCGTATTTACACGAATTTGTAAAAATTTGGAAATATTAATATAATTTTTTTTATATTCAATTGATTTTTATCCTACTAACATGACACGTAGATAAATCTCAATTTATGAAAAATTATAAAGTCTTAAAATTGGCCATAAATTCGCAACTTTAACAAGCACAGAAATAGACCATTGGTAAACTCTTTGGTTTTATAGTGTAGTAAAACAGTATCAAATATCATCTTTTAAGTTGATATATTTATTTTTATTTAATTTTTAAATTTATTATTTATTCTTATAGTAAAGGCATGGCCCACATTGTAATACACTTATTGAAATTTAGTAAATGTGTCTTACCATAGACTTCTTCATCTGTACTATATTCAGCTAAGGCATTTAGCAATCTTGGTAAATTGCTTTCTAAAGCTTCCACCACAAGCTGCAACTCAGTAGTGCTTCTGATAATTTGACTCAGTTTTGGGAACAAAGCTTGTGCATGGGATCTTATTTTTCCCATACCGGGGGCGTAACCAGGACTCTCCAAGACAGATTCTGTTGATGGCAGCACGATTCCATCTAAAAATATATACATCTTAAGATAACAAAACATATTAACACATGCCAATGCATTATAATATAATTATGTAATATATAAAATTATTATAATTATAAACTATGTATAGAAAAATGTATGAAGATTTTCATATTTTATTTAATCAATGCAATAACTAAAACTAAAATATATATGACATGTTTGGTAGAAACAAAATGTATAAAAGTTAGTATAGATCTGTACAGGGAATAAAATTAAATAATTACCTTGCATTCTTATTGGCATCAATATGATTTAACAAGATAGCATTTGTCTTATATGCATTAAAAGCAAACCCACCAACAATGACTCTGTTTAAAGCCTCATCTCCCACCAACCTTACTTCTGCCTAAAAATAAAAATGATAATCAGTTATAGAAATACTAAAGAAATTGCTTTGATATGAGTAAATGTTATGAAAATTCAAATTAAATTTCTAAGTTGTCCAAAATATATTCAATAATAATTAGATAATTACGCTTTCATGGCTGGCAAGGGATAGTAGAGTGGGTACAGCCGTGCTTAATAAATTAGCATAATGCCGAGCGCAATTGGATCGAGCTCCTAGCGCACCCAGACAGCGACCCAATGTTCCGGCTGCGGTTTGTAATTCATGACCTCTGCAATAATAATAAAAATAACCAGGGCACGCGTAAAACATGTACCAATTCAATATGACACTATCTATTATAACATACTTTGCAACTCCTTCATAGTTTTTCAAATATTCGAGTGATTTCTCGGCTTTTTCGAGTAAATTCATAGCTGCGTTTTGCGGCTACTGTGTTGACAATGTTGTTATCACAAACATTATTGATTATAGAATTGCACTTATATTGTAATATTCTTAGAGTATCATAATATTATGAGATTTTGGGAGAAAATAATTAAATCTTCGGAAAATTGAACCTTATTAATTCGGAAGTAGTAACTCGTAATTTCGTAAGTAACATTAGACATGAAAACAGAAAAACAATCTAAAATATAATAGACATTTATAATTGGCAGAATCTTGACAATGGACAGTTTATTTATATTTTAAGTGTCAATTCTTACAACAGCTGTGCGTGGCGGCAGTTCTGTATTCTGAAGCTAATCTGTTTAATGCTACTTGACATTAATTATTAACAGTAAAGCAAATAGCATCTGGCTAAGTAGTTTTATCGGTAGGTTCGCTTCCCCTAAATCCTAATCCCTATACTTCCTCCATAAAGAAATAATACATATATACTGGGAATTTATACTGGCCCACTTCAACTTAGTACTTACATGATAGATTTGATAGAAGATCATCCCAGATTTCAATTGATTCAATAATTAAAAAAGGAGTTTCATAATTATTGTACTAACATTTATAAATAGAGATTGAAAAGCTAAAATAGCAACAAGTCACAAAATTCAATTCAAGTAAGATTTGTGCTCTGATAATTGATATATTATATAGGTATTAGGTTTATTATTTGTTTTTAATCAGTTTCATGAATTTAATAATAGGGTTAGAAATTGACACTACTATCTAAACCTGAAGGTGAAGCGGGCAACGGTTAATTAAACTAAACTTAAATCACAAATGTCTTCAAACGTTGAACAAGATATCGACATAATGTATGGTTTAAAAACTGTTTTGAGTCGAATAGAAATTGCTGTGTCTAAAAGAAGTAAGGTAAATAATTAATTTCCTGTTAAAATTTTAAAATATCCGTAGTCTTCAATCATAACCTCTATAAAAATATTTTTACTGGTTTGCACAGGATTTGCCGCAAATTGTACCGACATTAATTGCTGTATCTAAAATAAAGCCAGCATCGTTAATAATACAAGCATATGAAGCTGGACAGCGGCACTTTGGTGAAAACTATGTGAATGAACTGTCAGAAAAAGCCAATGACCCCCAAATACTGGAGCTTTGTAAAGATATCAAATGGTAAGCCTTTGATGCAGCTATCTTACAAAAATCCTGTACAGTTAAAATCTACGAACGACCTATTTCAAATATAAGTTTTGTGTATAACAAGCAAAAAGCAACAAGCTGTAACAAGTAAAAACATTGTTTTCATAAATACATTTATTTATTTATTAATAAAGAGCTTTAGTAAAATAACTGATTTGACATTTTAAATTTCAGGCACTTTATTGGTCATTTACAAACCAATAAAATAAACAAACTACTTCAGTCACCTAAGCTTTACATTGTTGAAACAGTTGACTCTGCAAAACTTGCAGATAACTTAAACAAGCAGTGGGAAAAATTCCGCCAAGGAGATGAGAGGCTACGAGTTATGGTGCAAGTTAATACAAGTGCTGAAGAAGGTTAAATATTTTTTTAACTATTTTTGTAATCTCATTTTCTACAATATTCAGGAAATTACTCTTTGTATTTTACATAATAGACCTATTACCTACAAATACATAATAGGTATCAATCAAAATAGTATTGCAATAAATGTGGCTTAAAATGACTTGATATGGAAATCTACACAACTTTATTATTACAGCAAAAAATGGCATAGAACCTTCAGAAACTAGCACATTAGTGAAGCATGTGTTAGAAAATTGTCCCAACCTTAATCTTAAGGGTCTTATGACTATTGGGCAGTATGATTATGACGTGTCTCTTGGGCCAAATCCAGATTTCTTGTTACTTGCCAAATGTAGAGAAGAGGTTTGTCAAAATCTAAATCTGGACATCAATGATGTTGAATTATCTATGGGAATGTCTGCAGATTATGAACATGCGGTATGTCTTTCATTATTGTTTATGAACTGATGTATGTATAAGGTCTACACTTTTTTGTTGTTAATTTTGACAATTATCAAAATTCAATATTTACAGTAAATATAATAGAAAAAATAAATCTAAAAACTTGGTTCCCTATGGTGCCCTGTATTTATTGGTTGAGACAAGAAAGCATCACCCATGGGGATACCAGTACTGTCTACCACAATCAATTTAATACTTTAATCAACCCTAAAGGTCTTGAACCCCACAGATCAAGAGTCAACACCAAAGAGATCAAAATCAAAGTTGCTGGAAAAATTGTTGTATTTTTGCCGTTTATTACTTCCCCCTGCTCTGCGGCCTCTCCAGCTTTTGACTTGTCCGGGAGATGAGACGGATAATATTTACAGATGTTTATTTTTGTTATAGATTGAACTGGGAGCAACAAGTGTTCGCGTTGGTTCTACGATATTTGGTGCTAGGCCACTAAAAAAATAATAAGGCACAAGACGACAAAAACTAGCATAAGTAAAATTGTGATATCACTTGTTGTTGAATGTTAAATAATATTATTGAAATAAATTTTATCACTGATTTATTATTTGAATTTAAGACATTCTTTAAAGTTAATGTTCTTTATGAAATGTATATTTTTTAATTAGAAAAACATAAAATTTGTGCTACACGCAAATAGCTTCTGGGTTACTTGGTAGTTTGGTACTACATGTATTTATTTCAAGAGAAAAAATATATGTAGTCGGTCCCAAAGTTCTGTCATAAATGGAAATAATGATAAAAACAAAAGTACTGATCAGTTTGTAATGAGTGATATATCAATTCTTAGTACATTAATTAAGGAATAAAAAAAAGCATAAAAATATTCGAAATAACCTCCCTCATTTTTAATACAGGCCCTTAAGCGTCGCGGCCAGTCGTCTATCGCAGCACGCACCATATTCGTGTCGATTTCAGTCACTCGTTTTTTTAAAGATGACTTCAGATTCTCCAAATTTTCATGAGGTTTATCACAGACCTTCCTCTCTAAGCCCTGTCATAATTTCTGGTCCAAAGGATTAAGGTCCGGACTGGAGGAAGGCCAATCCTCATGTCTAATTAAGACGATGTTTTGACGCTCAAACCAGGCTTTAGTGGTCTTGGCTTTGTATGCAGACGCAGAGTCCTGCTGGAACACGAAGTGATGTCCCGCAAATAGGGTGCTGGACATGTCTTTGACAAGGCGATACAAAACCGTCTCTTGGTACACTGTAGCACTGGTTTTGACCCCCTTTTCGAAAAAATTAACCTCAGTTAGCCCGTAATAGGACACTCCCAACCAAACCATTACTGATGATGGATGATGTCCATGTTGCACCCTTGGAACTTTATTTTCAGCTTCTTCAGAACTCCTAGCGTACACTGTATAATTCTGTTTATTGTACTTCTCTTCAATATCGAAAAATTTTTCGTCCGTAAAGAGGATATCACGGTGTCGGTTTTTCGCGTACCGCTTAAACAACACCCGCGATCTCTTAAGCCTTATTGCTTTTAGACGAGCATTAAGTAAGTGCCCACTCTTTTTTTGTATGCTCGTAGACCAAGATCTTCATTTAAAACCTTTTTACTGTTTTCCTACTGACACCCATCTGCAAATCCATCAACTTCTGTTTTCGGACAGGATTTCTTACTATCCGCGCCTTGATAGCTTTGATTACTGCTGGTGTTCTTGCGGAGCGTGGCCAGCCAGTTCTTTTCTTGTCCTCAACACTGGAGACTTCAAGGTACCTATCAATAGTACCGTACACAAACCTAAGCGTTATATTCAAATTTTTGAGCAACTTGAAAATGGTACTCGGCGAGTGTCCACAGCGGTGCAACGCAATAACAACTATTCGGTTTACTTTCAATGTCCACTCCATCGTGAAAAATTACGGAAAGTTATTGTTTTTTGTTTTAAAACAATAATCAAACATTTCAAAATAGAATGCAATAATTTTTTTATAAAATCCTGCTCGAAATGTAGAAATAATGTGCTAGTGACAGAACTTTGGGACCAACTACGTACATCTAAACTGAATGTTTTGTGATTAAATAACTATGTTTAAGAAAACTTGTTATTATGTACATACATGTTCCAAATATTGTTTTTGAGAAAAATTGTTAGTCATATATTTTTATTTAATTAACCTGTGACATTTATGAAAATAAGAAATTTTTGTATAAAATTATATTTATTTTTGAAAAGTTACAAAAAAGAGAAATAATTACAGAAATCTTAACCTAATGGCACTAATATAAAATAAATGAAAAATAATTTTGCGCTTAGTCTTGAATTCTTAATACTGCTATAATCAGTGAGGTAAATACTTACCGACAGTACACTGGTCAAGAAAACTTTACTTTAGGCAAAAATAATTATATTTTGTTGACCAGATTAAAATCTATCACAATTATTTAATGTTAAACTGCGGCGTTATACGGTTTGTTGTTGATACGACTTTTCAATGATCACTGAATGGAGAGGTGAGGTGAAGTGAGGTTTAAACATACAAAATTTCACAATTCCGCTCTCCTAAAAATATTGATATAAATATTTAATGTTTGTATATTTCGTATTTACATGTAGGTTTTATTTTTTAAATTCAGTGTACCGCTGGTATACAAAGTTACAAAACTATACACATGTTTAGGATACTACTATACAATATTGTTGAAATTATTTATCTATAGACATATTGTTACTAATACATAATATGCATAAGTACATTTATTATTAATATGAACGCAATGAGCGACATAACGGGTTTATAAGTTTGACAAGTACAACAATCTCTTACATAAGCAAGTGAACAGTAATACACATAGTTCAAGGATGGGCTCATATTATTTTATTATAAAATTACTTTTTCTTAAATTAGGAATAACAATCGACAATACAACATTTACTGGACGGATTGTTATTACATATTCAGCCTTACATGCCAAAATGGCAATACACAATAGACGGCATAACTCATATTTGTAAACATATATGAACTAAACTACAATCCTTTTTGTTCACCTTTCATGGAATAACTTGGTTTATTAACCTTTTTTTTAGTACGTTATTATCAAAACTTTTTGCACTATTAAGATTTAAAAAAACATACGCGTCGAAATGTAAACCTCCTTTAGGTTCAGTGGAGTAGGTTAAACAAAGTTCACAAGAGATTCTTCAGAGATTATTAGTAAAGCATGATAGCTCCATTTAATTTTTCCTCTAACGCGGGGGCAGCGACGTCCGAATCAGGCGCATCTGACATTGCAATTAAAATGCATACATTGTTGATAAATGCTGATATGCCAGCTGCTACGACTAACCTGAAACAGTAAAAAAGATGGTATATTATTAGCGTCACTCAATACATTCCATACTTTAAAAAATCGTAGGTCAAAATGCAAATTAAAAACCTACAGATTACGTCGCTCAATTGTGATTTGTCAATAACTTTTTGAACAAAGACTAAAAAAAGCTAGATTAGATATTTAAAAATAGATTTAGTGTTAATAACTTATTTTGTTTCTACATTAATAAATAATAATTTATATAAATACATTCTCTTTCGTAAATTAACACAGGTGTTGATTTGAGGTGTTTCTTGTTTCTAAAGCGTATTATATAATAAATACCAACTAAATTATTGTGGTCTTACCAGAAGGATAACCCAAGATCTGCCGTTAGGTCGGAAGACCATGTATTTGCGAGGTCTTCCTCAGACATAACGTTATGCTGCAGACGGAGGAAGAACTCAGTGAGCCACACTGACATTGCGCCGAGACAGAATAGTACTGAAATTATATTAACGACATTTATTAAGAAATGTCAAACTTTTTAAAAGTTATTTGTATTTTTTAATATAACGCCTCCGTAGGTAAGGCATACAGAATAGGAAATCTAAAGGTCGTTTCCGTAAAATAATAATTGTTTTAGATTGTGATAGAATGAAGACTGTAAGCACATATGTAAGAACATAATATGTAAGCTCTCCAATCGAGGTTACAAAATTAATACAAAATATAATGACATTTTACCCCTTAATATTACTTTATGGCCCGAATATTATTTTTAAATAAATCGTGTTAACCTAAAATATTCACTCATTTTCCTTAAATCTGATTGGCTAGAATATACGAGTATAGCTCATTAACGATAAATTTCTCAATTGTGTTTTTCTTATGCGGGTAACAACGTAATGCGGGTAAGTAACGTTGAATTATAATTTATCTCACCATATTCTATACTGCTTATAATTTAACCGTGGAATGTATGTACTGTAATGTGTACACACTAAATTAATTTGTTATTAGACATAAATATTATATATAAAGGAAATATCATTAATTTTTACTTTTCACTTAATAAGCGTCAAAAACAGATGTAAAAACTCGATTAACGAGATCAAATACAAAATTAACGTGTTAAGAATAATTGGTAATTAAGAAAGTTAATTAACGCTAAGTTTAACCTGAATGTTAGTACTCGGAGACAGACGTAGGAACATGAAACACTCAATAATTATTCATGTTTTTTCAAGTTTAGTTTTGTATTGTAAGTATATAATAATAATTAGCCTTTATACATCTTATTTTCCATATAAATAATATGCAACATATTATACCCCCGTTTAGGAGAAGGCATCTTCCAACTTTTTCCACCCAATTTTTTTAACTTATATATAAAAAAGATACGGAGTAATTTATATTATTAAACGTATAAAATTGTCATTATTTTTATTACTATTACTTAAAACTGGACTGTAATAATATGTTTTATAGGCACGCGTTAGTCATATTAGGCATATGAATTGGATTGTATTTGACATTTATTAAAGTAATCTCTTTATCAACTGTTGCATTGTTAATCTCTTTATCATTGTTGCATGACATTAGTTAAATTTTTACTTTTTAGAATATTTATTCCAACGAATACGCCCTTTAGTTTATGGAGACTGTTTAGTGAATATAACTCATAAACGTTGCTATTTTAGTTTGGAGTAAAAATGCTTATGGACAAATTATAGAGTTTCCAGGCGTGTATTATAAGAAAACTGAATTCGACGTAGTCCACCGTGGCTCCTACAATATGACTGATTGCGCTTCCGAGCTCATTAATTGTTGGGAAATCGTCAGGTACATTTTTAAATATTTGGTTATTTTCCAGTATTTCATAAAAATGATTAAACCAGAAGCTTCGTAAATAGCAGAACTGACCTGGTAAGTAATTTAAGACACAAGACAATTGATTCGAAATCTAAAACATAACAAAGTAAAAGTACCTATAGAATAAAGTTATTCTTTATATAACAAAACAGTAGCTCCAATCCTAAGTAACTTTTCAATACAACTTTAAATTAATGCTGTCTGTTTTATTTTTTAATTGTATAGGCCAGATATAATTTGTGACTATGAAGAACGATACTACGAGTCAGTTTGTGGAGCGCTGCGCTTGCACTGCAGTGGCAGATATGGAGCAGTCGATGGTACTTAAAAATAAATTATTAAATTAAATATAAGTTTTATAACTTACGTTAACGTTACGGTAACGTTTGATAAAAAAAAACAGTGGCGTATTTGTTTCATGATCATTTGTTAATCCAATAGGCAAGTAGGCGATCAGCCTCTTGTGCCTGACTCACGCCGTCGAATTTTGGGTCTAAGGCTAATGTTAAATGCGCACATAGAAAGAAAGTCCATTGGCGCACCGCAGTTTCCGGGGATCGAACCTACGACCTCAGGGATGAGAATCGCACGCTGAAGCCCCTAGGCCAACACTGCTCAACGTTTAGTAAAGTATTTGAAAAATATTTGTTTTAAAACCACCACCATCCCTAACTTCGCTTGTTTATGTAAAATAAGAGTCCAGCCATTAATGGCGAACGCACAGTGTAACCTAAAAAGTGATGTTTGGCAATGATTTATCAACAATATAGCCAAGGTCTTACAGGGCATTAGTATTCCTTTTAATTTATTTACTATTGAATTTCCTTGGCACAACAACTTAATGGTGCTTAAAAATGTGAATTTATTTATTTGTGTTTACAGCCCTCTACGGCGACAAGGCATTTTCATTATCATCATTGGTATGCGAGAGTCACCGTATACACACGCGTCGTTACGTCAGTATACCACGGAACGATTCAAGAGCTATGGCTATCTTGCGCGCCATCAATTATACAGATGAGTTGGGCCCCGTCTAAATAATATTTAAATACATGAAGATCTTAAAAGAAGATTTACGAGAATCTAGAATTTTAATAAGTCTTGGCTATTTATATGTGGATTGAATCAAATATATTAACAATCATTTAAGTTTTATCTTCATATTTTAGTTTTTGTAAGTGTTTAACTATAGTTTAGAATACTAGAGATAATAATATTGTCTGTATAAGAATGAGAATTAAAATTAATGAGAAATTATTCAAAACCAATTCGAGGTTTATTATATTATGAATAAAAGGGTTAATTTATAATTAAAATCCTTTGTTAGTAACGCCTTATAGAAAAATAACATAAAAATGAATAATAAATTAAAATAGTTAAACTGTTTTATATATATAACAAAATCTTCACATGAACGAATAGCTAAGTATATAAGCTAGCTGCTAAAACCACGAAATGAAAGTGTTATCTGTCATAGTCTGTGGGAAGGTCAGATCACTTTCATTTTACATAATTCATTAACAATATCTGTTACGTGTCGCGGTCATTACAATTATAGCTTCAGTTATTAATCGATTATTATTTTTCTGTCGGTTTCTAAGCTTTTCTTAGCTGGATTAAGGTTGGCGTTTAAAGCCAGATCCTCAGACCCAGATGAAGACCGAGTGTTTCTATACAGAGAAAAGCAACTCATCCGTGCTTTTTCAGTGAAACGGATAGTATCGCATGTCTGCGATTGGGGTATAGATGTTGTAGACCAATTCCAAGCAAAACATGCAACCGCTTGGTTTAACGTTTTCGGCCCCACGAGGTTTATTGAATAAAACTCTGTGTAAGTAAGTGGTGGAAGGTATGATACCCTGAGATGATGCTCTAATCGACAGACCAACCAAGGTTAGAAATATGCAAGGAAAATGCGATTAAAAAGAGAAAGATAGAGCTGCATTGTAGAACTCACACGCGGTTCTAATGTTTCAATATTTTTGTACATTACCTGTGGCACAATTAGTGAGCAAAAGTGGGCGTGGCTGCGCTGAGTGCCTGGCTGCAGATGCCAATGCGGCTAATACAGCTGCTCCCGCGCTAGCTGCTAGGGCTACTGCTAATTGGGCGGCTGTACCACACCACGCCCATCGGCGGGCAGGATGAGTTCCTGCGCCTACTGAAATTAGGATTATTACTATTCACTCTTCCAGTTTAAATGTAATCAGATGTGTGGCCAGTTCTAATTCTAGAAATCTTAGTCGTGGTCCTTAAACTAATATCAGCAAAAGCTGGTTAGACAAGATCTCGTAACTAGAATTAAGCTTGATTGACTGACCTTAACTTAGATTGATTATTAAAATAAACATCTATATCTCTCAAGGTATCCCATAAAAAATATACTTACTACTTAAATCGTGTGGCCTCCACCCATATCCGAAATTCAATTCTTTGTGCCCCTCAAACAGTCCAAAGTTAATCCTGCCCTCGGATTCAGTGTTTTGCAACCGCCTCGCTCTTGCATCTACCCAATGCTGGGTTCCCAGAGACGCGACCAATAACGCTATACATAGACAGGACCCAAAGAAAGTCGCAAAAATCATGGACCGCTTAAACAAATTCAGCTTCATTTTGGTTTCGTTTTGCGTAGTACGCGCTGTTACCGCTAGATGGCGTTATGTCACATTTCTTCGTTAAGTGATGAGTTTTCTAGTGAACGAGCGTGGGAGCGAATACAGCCATTGTTTATCATTACAGAGATTTTCTATGATCTCCCGCGGTGAGACTGATGGAAAATCTGAAACAATACAATATGTCATGTCAATAGCACTGTAAATTTGTAGATTATAGAGAAAGTCTACAAGGTTATCGAATGCCTGCGACCTCACTCGCAGTAACTTATTACTTTAAGACAATTGTCCGAAATAAAAGTGTCATAATGTATATTTTTTAATAATAATACATTTTATTATGGTAACTAAAGTTTAATTTACGTTTAAGCCTTATCAAAGCTACCCAACAGATACAATTACAGTCAAAATCTATTATAACGACATCGACTGCTCATATTTGGTCATACAAATCGATAGTCGTAACAACCGATGATGTTATTATTAAGTAGTTTAGTACCTAATACATAGAATTCAGCCGGGACCTTTGATTTTGGTCAATATAATCGGTATGTTGTCGCTATCGGTTTTCACTGTACTACTAATTTACTATAATTTCCATTTAGGAAAACATTTCTCACAAGTAACAATGATTAAGCAATATTAAACAAATATAGATATATTATGTTTCAAAAAATATCAGTACCACTAACTTTAAAATGACTAACTCCCAACCGTTAGTAATTTTAAATTTCGAGTTATTAACGCATTAAAACTATTATGTTCACTCATTACCTAATGAATGATTCCATTTAATACAAGTGTAGAGACATCCGGAAGTGACTGGTTTCATACGACGTTCCACAGAACTACTAGGAATGAAAACCACATCAAAATCCGCTACCTATTGGTTTAGTCTGGGATTATTGTAATAATATTATTAGTATTTTATATATGTATTTTATTTTTTATGTCAAAAACGTATTGGACATTTACCTACGGGAGTATTTTGCGTCAACTTTCAACTCAGGGTATTTTAAGGGTGAGACAGCAAGAAGCGACTTAGTTTAATACTATGCGATACGGATATTATTTATATCTATCGGAAGGGAAATGAAATCTAGGTGTACAACTATCTGGATAGATCACTCCATAAACATGAATGAGGACCGGTTTGTAATCCAGTCTTGTAACAGCTGATTTCACCATTGATGTTTTATTTAACACCTCGTAATGTGTACGACATTTGAATACTATGACGACTACTATGGATAGCATTTTCATAGAATTTTGACTAACGCAACTTTGAATAAAGCATATTTTATATTAAAAAAGCAATACAAAGAATAGAATTGTTTCAGCTATATGTTTAATCTGGACATATTTTTAACTTTTACAACTAAATGTAATCTTTATTTCTTGAGGCTCATAACGTCATGAGAAAAACGATATGTATGTCTCTTAAAGGAAAACATAGCTAGACAAATAGAACTAGTGTGTTAGTAGGTATATAATATTTAAAAATATGTATATGTAAATTCGTAAATGAACATACCTAAAAATCAGATAATTACAACTATCTGAGCCGCCTAAATGTTGCGTGAAAAAAAGTCTTGGACTCATACAAACGTATTAATAAGATATGAACAAATCGTATAATTCCCGCGCACTTAAATCCGGTTTTCACTAAAACAAACTATGTACTATTAACCTTAAAGTAAAATCATGTGTATAAACTATAAGGTATTATGGTTCCCCTGTCGCCGTCACGATGGGGTGAGCATGACTGAGCAGCTGCTCTTCCGAGTTCCGCTTGTATGTGAAGGTCGCAAAAGGAGAAGTACCCACTGGCGTTTGGTAAACGGTTTGGGGTATAATATTCTGTACACAGAGCCTACGAAATTTACTGATTTAAAATACTTTTTCTAATTCAAAATACTATATTGAGCACAATTGCTTTTGTTACATTAAAAATTCTTAGAAATATAACTACGTATTTTTACATTGGACCAGTGTTTCCCAAGCTTTTTTGTGCCATGCCCCAACTTAGCCTTTCTAGAATCCTTATGCTTTTATTTTATACATCATTTTTTATATTAAAAATTGAATTGTTCTCTTAAAAAACTTAAATGATATGTATAAGGAAGAAATCACTAGGAAATTGTTAACGAAACATAAACGTATAAGTAAATTTTCAAAATATAATGAAAACCGTGGATTTTCGAATTGCACACCTTAACAATCAAATTGTCTCGCTGTAGGGCGTGGATCACACACTGCATTAGATAAAAGGGAACTCATACAAGTCAACGAACTTATGACGATTTTCCTTTTTAATTCAATATAAACAGCGCTCGAAACGTTCATAAACAACCTGCCTAAATACTCTGTCGTTATGAATGTAACTAAATGCCTGCACAGCAAGATTGGTAGGAAAATGGAAAGTGATATTAATATTATCTTATTCTGAATTTTAAGTATTTCTAGTATTAAAGGCACACTGCCACAGGGACCAAACTTTTTAAATTTGTTTTAATTTTCTTTTTATTACTTTTTATGAATTTAAGAAAATAGTATACTGTATATTTGATTGTTATGTTTAGGTTTTAATAAACGATAAATATAGTATTACTAGATTATATTATATTGCATCTAGTTTAAACTGTATAGGTTATATTGGGGCAGATACATTATTGCATCATTGTCAGTGATAGTTTTTTTTGCCTAAAAAGATCCTAATCAGGTGTACCTCCAGTTCTATAACTCCAAAGCAAATATTGTAAGTGAGAATCGAGCCCTATAACTATGCATTACTAACTACGCAAAGGCGATACAAAAACCTCACAGATTTGTTGCCATACATAACAGTTATTTACCGACATTCCTTCAATACAATAAACATGCAAAAGTAAAACCAGAAGATTCATATGACGTCAGCAGATTAGCAAAATTAACATTAGTCACGGATGGAGACATTCGCTAACCATACGAAGGTCAATGTGAGATTTTTTTATACATTTGTACAAGGGAAAATGCAACTTATTATATATTCGATACTTGGAAAATATTATCAAAGTCGCATGTACTAACCCCTGGGACATCGCTCAAATCTAGACCTACGAATCGATGTGACAACATTTAATTTGAAGAGGAATTATATACGATGTGAAATATGCGCGTGCGCAGTTTGATAATGAAAATGTCATGGTTAAATCATGCACAAACACTAAAAGGCGTTAACCTCGTCTTAAATATTATTTTACATAATGAAAACCGCAAATAAAACCTTCATTTAAGAAATAATGTCCATTGTGGTAACATAACATAAATATGGCACTATATATGTCTGTATGTGCCTGACACGCATCGTCGTTTTGAATACCAGACATTCGGATGTCCTTATAATATTTTCCTTTACCATACAAACAAGTCCTTAATAGTCCGATAGCAGTACAAGAAAAAAGCACAATTATCGGACGCGAGACTTCGGTTTGTGAATTACATGTAGTTTTAATGCATTCACTAGGTTAATGTGTTTTTTTTATATAACAGAGGGGCAAACGGGCAGGAGGCTCACCTGATGTCAAGCGATACCGCCAATAACACTCATTATATTACCAATATTTCTTTAGATTATTTTATCGTAAGTGACACAACAACTAAGTTCGGCGTGTATAGTAGAGATAACTAATTCGTGATCTATCGTTCAATCAATTACAGATTGAGATTACTTATGTATACATATAAAACCTTTGAACGTGAATACTTGAGTAACATCAGCAATAACATAAATGTTTATTGCAGCGATCGGTTATGGCGATAAACCTGAATTCTTTGGAGGTAACTGTTCAGGTAGTTATATTGTTTGCATCAATATCAGATTTATCTATACTCCAGAGTTAACGGTACCAGTAAGTCCAGTCTAGTCGTGAATCTCTGACGTCGTATTTATTTGATTCAAGCTACGTAACCACCAATATGTGGAACCAGTTGCCCACTGAAGTATTCAATTCGACTATGGGTCCAATATATGGGTCAATTATTAAAAGGCCGGCAACACACTTGCGAGCCTTGCCCTCGCAAGTGTGCTTTAAAATAACATACATCATCTTAGATAGTCTAGATAGAGAAGAAAGGATGTTACTGTACCTTTAGAGATTTTAAGACAAGATGTTTTCAAGCGTATCACAAAACTATCGCAAGGAAATAAGTGTGACAGATGATAGGCATTTTTTTATTTTTATTTAGGAACAATACGTATTTGTTCCATCCATAAGCAAGATAAAGAAATGATTTTTTTTTAATTCAGTTAATAGAAAGCTTTTAAAACTGTTTGTTTACTTTGATCATTAGACACCTGACCTCTCCGATCAAAGAATGTATTGTTAACAAAACTGTTACAGTAACTGTTAGACAGCCATGCTTAATTGATCTGATTTAGTGCGGAACTGTTTACATTATCTACTTGATTGATTGCATCAATAGTTCACCGGTTCATGAATGTCGTACCGTACTACAGCCCTTTACTATTACTATTTTAAAGATCCGTAACAATGACGGGATAGGTGTACGTCTGGTTCAATGATAAGGAAATTAGAAATCAATCGCCCAAAATTTAACCTAAGATATTTGAGGTACCTATATGTAGACAATAGGTAGCCTTACATTTTCACGAATAGTTAGCACATAAATAATGTACCATACTGATGCTTATAAGCTTCGTTCCTAGCTAGACCATTTTAGAGTTTACCGCGATGGCATGAGTCGGGCATACCGCATACGGCATACCCTATCCCACGTATGCTTTCCCCATTGTAAATGATGTTTGTACAATGAGTAGAGATACGCTCCAAGGACTTCTTTAAGGGCACATAACGCGTTCCAAGCCATGACGATTTCAAGAATCCTTTGCATAAGTTCAAAGTAATATTATGATAAATAATCAATACGCATTCAACAGTCAAGACGTAATAATTGTGTCTACTTTCAATTTCGTAGCGACCATTAAAATTGGTCCAATC